TATTTAGCACGAGCTCCTGGTCCACCGAATTTCTTAGCTTCACATCTTCTTGGATCAGCAACAAGGAGAGTTCTATCATATTCAAGGAATTTAGCTTTAAGTTCATTCTTTGTAGTTTCATCAACAAACTTTTGGTTGTAAGCAATAAGAGCCTTAGCAATGGCTTGTCTAATGGCATAAGCTTGAGCAACTTGTCCACCACCAGTAACTCTGATTTTAAGGTCTAATTTAGCATAGTTTTCTTTACCAACAATGAATAATGGTTCAAAAACTTTAATTCTTAATACTGGTGGGTTAATGAGATCAAGTGGAACACCATTAACTCTAATCATACCTTTTCCTTCTTTGCAAAGACAGACAGCAATGGCAGTCTTTTTCTTTCCGAAAACTTGAACGCTCTTAAGAGCCTCAGTGTGTTTCTTTTGGGTCTTACCAGCGGCTTTTACGGCTGACATGCTGATTGCAAAGGGTTAGTTCACTTTTTTAGATCTCATTCTAATTAATTTTATTATACTTTATTATATCTTCGTTTTTTCACAAACCTTAAAAAATTAAAAAACAAAAAATGATATATAGAACAAAATTAATGATGTTAATTTGTGGAACTCTTTAAAACAAAACAAAGATATGGGACATAATAAAGGAAAAAATAAACAAAGAGCACACGGATATAACGATGAAGAAAAATCCTCAAAAAGAAAAGAAGTGACAAAACCAAAAGAAAAACATGAACAACAAGAATTAACGAAAAAACAACAAAAGAAATTACAGAAGAAACAAAAGATGAAAGAACAAAAATCAGTTTCTACACAGTCAAAAGAATCAAATATGGAAATTGAAGAAATTGAAGTTTCAAAAGAGTTAGGAGAAGAAGACCTAAAAGAAACATATATTGATCATTTAAAAAAATTAGATTTAAACGAAATTAATCAATTAATAAGATTTATTCCTATGAGATTAACAGAAAGAGAAAGAGGATATCTTGAAATTATTGAAGCAGCATTAGATGTTAGTGAATACACAAATAATGTTGATATTGCTAAATCAGATTATATATATTATGGTTATGGTTATAAACAAAAGGATTTAGGATTTAAAGGATTTAAAAAAGAACAGATTATTATAGAACAACATGAAGAGCTTAAAAGGGTCATGATTGGGTTATTAGTTACCAATAATTTCAGAGAAGGTATGAAAGTTAGTAAAGATGAAAAATTAAAAGAAGATTTCTTTCAAGATTGTTTTGAAGTTGGAAGAAGATATAAAGCAGCAAACCCATCCATGATGAGAGAGACATATCAAAAAATGATGCACATTTTACAAGATGCTATAAATTATAATCCCAAATTTATTGGTAAAGAATTTGTAAAGAATAAAAAATGGAAACCAATTTATACTGTTGAAATGGGAATGAAAGAATGTAATATGAAAATAGAAGATATTTTAAGTGTTATTGGTTTAAATTCACAAGGACTAACATTAGAAGAAATTGAAAAACAATATGGAGAACATGGTCTTCGTATTGTATATTCAATTAGAGATGGAATTGAAGCATCAGCAAAGACATGTGGAGTTGTATTTGAAATACTCAGAGAATTGGAACAGTTTAGAGACAAAGGAAATAGTAGCTCTTCATTAGCAATTCAATTTGGAAAAGGTGGGTCAAGACTAACACAAAGTCATTCTGAACACTTTTTATTTGTTCAACAAAGTCTAAAACTCTGGTGGAATGTTATGAGACATATGTCATTGTTATGGATAATGAATGATAAAGACTTTTTAAGTGGAAGAAGTTATAGTTTAGTTAATACTGGACAAGGTTTACAAAGGCTGCAACAATGCCCAAACGTTTCTTCTGCTATTCATCAAATTCTTAGTCAAACACAAAATACTATGTGTGAAGGAAAAGGGTGGAGAGGATTAAGTGTAGTTCATTTAGGAGATAGAGATGTACCAAATTGTTTATTTTTTATTGATAAATACTCACAAGTACCATGGATTCTTTCACCAGTTTTACATACTTCTTATAGACTATTAGAAAAGAAATTTATTGACAAAATTCAGTTATATTTTGAACGTTACCCACCCAAAATTTGGTCTTCAGCAATATTAAGACATTTCTTTCAACATGCATTTGATGGAAGTGGATCTGATGGTGGAAGTTGTATTGATGGAAGATTAACTTCAGCATGGAATTGGTGTTCAATGATTGAAAAGTATTCATACTATCCCTTATTTTTATTGTGTGGTTTTGAAGGATTTGAAGGTCCATATAAGAAATAAAATGAATTCTTTTAAGTGATTGCATATAAGACTGAATTACTTTTTTTAATTTTAAATAAGCAAAGGACTAAAAAATTAATCGAATATAGTCTTTTGTTAAGAATCAAAGTTTTATTAGATTAAGTTATCAATGTATTAATTTTATAATCAAGCTTTATTTCATTTAATATTATCTTCATTCACAATAAAAAGTTTCTCATGAAAATTAAATATTCAAGTTTTTATTAAAAGAGAAGAAATAAAATAAGGAAAAAAAGAAGGTTAGATGGTTTTATGGAAGTATAAAGTGATTTAGTATATTTATTTATTGTTTGATAATAAAATGAATGATAAACTAATGATTTAATGTTCACTCAAAAATGAATAAGATACTTTTAACTTTATTCTTCTTCAGAACTTGAATCTTCTAAGTCAGACACAACACAATCTTCAAATTTAAGAGATTCTAGTGTTGACTCAACTCTTTCACGTACAGATGAAATAGTATTTGGATTAAATTCAATATCATTAATACCCATTTTTAATTCTTGTAATTGAGTCATTTCTTTATTAAATACTAAACGTAATTCCCACAAAAATCTAAAATATTCTTCTGAATTTTTTGATGTAGTTTCTTGTCTTCTATAATGAGAAATAATAGTTTTATCACCATCAAGAATTACTGCAATTTCCCAAACCATTGGTTCTATAATAATAATAAGTATTTAAAAAAAATAAATGAAATAAACTAAATAAAACAAACGTGCATCTTTAATAAACAAATTACCACATACTGCTTTTAATTTCATAGTAGAACTTGCAATAATTTTTTGATTAATTGCTTTTAAAAATGTAATAACAGGGGATACTTCATTTGATCCTTCATCAACATAAACACTTTTTAATACTCTCATTAAAAATGTTTTTTGAACAGAAAGATCTTCTGAATTATCCATAACAGCATTCCATTCTTTTTCTACACGTTCACAATGTTTTTCATCAAAGATTTTAGTAATGCATTGAATAACTTTTAAACAATCACCTGTCGTAACTTTATTTCCTTGTACATCAACTACAATTTTAACTTTACCATCAGTTTTATTTCCATCTTCTGGGAATAAACATGAAATTTCATTTTCATTTGTTTTACGTACAATAGATAAATGTTTTAATAAACGTGGTAAATCTCCAGCAATAGGAAATGTTTCAAAATTCCCTTCAACAACAACTTTTCTTGTTTGATCTCTCCAATCAGGCATATTCTTTAAAAGATTAACCATTGAACCAGTAGCATAACCTGATAGTTTGGGGTTCGCAGCAATGGGTGGAGTTTTAATATTTTGTGAATCATTTTTTCCATGTCCTTTCTTCTTTTCTTTTGCTTCTTCTTTTTCTTTTTTCTCCTTTTCTTTTTTCTCTTTTTTTTCTTTCTTTTCTTCATTTGTTGTATGTTTAATTCGAGAGAATAAATCAAATAATCCTTTTTTATGTTTCTTTTCTTTTACTCCAACTTCACTCATCCTATTGATTATTTCAGTTTTCTTTTCAAATTCAATCTCATCACAAACAAATGAACTAATTATTTATATTTTTAATTTTCAAGTTTGTTTATTATTTTTTATTATTATTTATTCTTCTTTTTTTATACTTTCTTTTTTTAATTTTACATTTCCCGATATTTACCACCCTTTTAATGTTATACAATTCAATTCATTTCTTTATTATTCATTTTAAATACATTCATCGATGAAGAAAAAAGAATTTCTATTTTTGATTTTAGGTTTTCTTCGTTAATCTTTTTATTCAGTTTTTTGTTCACTTGATATTTTATTTTTAGTTTTAAATAGTACCTTTTTTTCATAACTTGAAAACAATATTTTTCTAATAACTGTTCGTGAGAAGATTTATCAAGTACTAAGAAAAAAAAAACAGTTATACTACTACTTTATTATTCCTTTTTTTTATTGGTTAGCCTCATCGGAGTCAAGTTAGTTATGTGAACAAAAAAATTCAGTACCCTTTTATACAATATCATTCAAGTTAATTATTTAGTTTTTTAAGTAATTTAGTATCTTTTCAATTTTATTACTATTTTTATTTCACTTTAATAAATTTTATGATAATAATTAAAAAATTGATAAAATTGATGTTAATAAAAAACATTCATTTTGTAAAATTCTGTATATTCTTCGTTTATAACATAATATCATTCAACAAACATTTCTAATATAATTCTTATGTTTGCTAATAAATATGTTCATGCTATTTAAAAATAAAAATTAATTAAATTATCATTATTATTCAAATATCCATTTGAAAGGAAAAAAATTTTAACAAAAACATTATATAAATAACATCGCTTATAATTTTATCAATAAATTACTAATAATTATTAATAGAAAATTAATAAAATTAAAAATTAATATAATAATTATTATTTCAAAATAGTTAGTAAATGTAATAAAAACATTATATTCTTTTTAAATGATAAAAATTATGAAAAAACCATTGTTATAAAAGTAAAAGGACTACATTTTTTTTATGCATTAGTAGAAGTGATGAAGGTCCTAAACCTATTTGAGTCTTTCTAAGACAAAGTAAATTTTAAATACAAAGAATTGATAGTAATTGAAAAATAATTTTCTTTTATAGTTCTTTAAAATAACAGTTCATCATGGGCAAAAACGATGCTCCAATGGAAGTTTCAGCAAAAAAGAAAGTTTCAAGAAATATAGAAATTTTTAAGCCAAAGAAGATTGAACGAAGAGACCCACGATTTACAGAAGAAGGAGGTAAAGTTTCAATGTTAGGTTTTTGTAAAAAATATAAATTTTTAGAAGAAAAACAGAAAGAAGAAGCTAATGAATTAAGCAAACAAATTAAAAATTGTAAAGACCCACAAGAACGAGAAAAATTAATAAAAAAACGACAGCAATTAGTTTGTTTAAAATAAAAAATAAAAAGTATTATAATATAAAATATTGCAATGTATTTTCAAATAAAAATTATGTTATTAACATCTAGAACCAAAGAATTACAATGCAAAAAAAATATAAAAATGAAGAAATAATTAAACGTGGTTTAGTTGAAGAAAATCATAAACGAATTATTGAAGGAAAACAACCAAAATTTATTTCAAAACAAGAACTTAAAGAAGAAGTTGATAAACAAACATATGGAGATCAACTGAAAAAGGTAGAAGAAAAAAGAATTAAGAGAGAAAGTGGCAAGCTAATGAAAAGAGCTCCACAACAAAGACGAGAAATAAAGAATAAAAAATAAATTAAATAATTTTTAGAATAAACTATAATTTAATTAAAATTTATTATTTTATAATTAACAAAAAATAAAAAAAAGAAGAACTTAGAACTACAAAGAAAAACAAAATTAAGATGAACATAGTAAAATGGATAGTTCTTATTTTTTGTTTTGCTGGATGGTATTATTTAGTTCATCACCAAAGAGTATCTGATTTAGAATTAATCTTTAAATATAAGTACAGTGGAAATCCAACAAGCGAATTAAATGCTGTTCCATTAGTTACAGATATTGATGGAGATGGAATTAACGATATAGTATTAACACCATTTGCATCAAAGAAACTATCTATATATTCTGTTAAGAAAGGAAGTTTAGTATTAAAAAAAGAAGTTGATTTACCAGAGAAGTCATTTCCTATTTACATCACAAGTGGATATGATAAACAATATAATAACACTGAAAAAAGGTCACAAATCATCATTGTGATTATGAGAGATTTTGAAGTTATTTGTTTTAATCCTGATTTAACTATTCGTTGGAGACAAAATTATTATAAACCAAAAGCCAAAGCATATGTACAAGAAGTTAGTGCTATTATCGTTCCTTATGAAATTCAAACTCAATATCAAGGAGCTGTTATTGCAGCATTTAGAACTTCATATGATGAAAATCTTTCTGGAAATAGAGTTGATAAAGAATTTGAAGAAGATTTTAGAGTTACCCTTCAACAAACATTTGAGGAACAAAAAGAAGATTTGGTTAATGATGACTTTGATCCAGAAGATATGTTAAAAGAACATATGAATTATTATGCATTTAGTACTAAAGATGGTCAACTAATCTGGCAACATGAAACTGATGAAAAAGATGAATACCTAGAATTAATAGAACAAAATACTGATGAAATTGAAAAATATAAGAAGTTCAAAATATTTAGTTCATTTACAGAAGAATTTGGTGAGATACAATGGCATGAATTCCATGATGCTGTATTTCAAAATATGCCACACCAATGGACATCGTATTATGATACTAAAAATAACTCCTTCTCATTTTGCACGAGATATGGTTAACAATCCAACTCAATTAATTAACCCTAAAATTAAAGATATTAAATACCCATATAATTCATTCGATTTAATTAAAAATCCTAATGTATTTGTTGTACATCAAAAAAATGGTATTGAAGTTATTCACCTATTTACAGGAAAACCATTACTTCATGTTTCATTATCTAGTTCAACAATGTCTTCAGCAAGTGCATTTGCTGATATTGATGGAGATGATTCATTAGATGAAGTATTTACTCACCAAATTGCACATACATTAGACTATTCAAAAGTTGATGATGATATTAGTTGTCAAGTTCAAGCCATGACAATGGGAAATTTCCAATTTTTATTCTCGCAGAATGCATGTACTAAATCTCGTAGATTCGATTTATTAAGAAGAAGAGAAGAAAGTACTGAAGTTATCATTTTACCACCATTACTAATTCCAAATCAAGAAATAGCCCATGACGGTAGACCTAAATTTGACATTATACTTTTAAATAATCTAGGGCTAATGACGTCTGTATCAAATAACGGTGCATTAAAGTGGCAGGCTGAAGTTCAATCATATTGGGATATTGAAGAAAAGAATGCTAAAACTTTCAAACCTGCTTTAGTGTCATTCAAATTCACTTATGGAAAGAATGAAACAGATCCATTTATTGTATCACAAGGAAGTAGATTTGTAAATGTTGTAGATTTAAATGGTAATGTTATTGCTAAAAAAGAATTTGATCATATTTGTAAACCAATTATGCCACCAGTATTTGGTGATGTTAATAACGATAAGAAAAATGATATTATCATTGTTACTGATGATCATATAATGGCTTATAAAATGGAAGTTGTTCCTTCTGTTGAATTCTTACCAATTTGTATCGCTTCATTGATCGTGTTAATGTCATACAATATTTATATTGTTGCTATTAATTATTACAAGAAACTTGAGTAAGAACAAATTCATTCTTTTTTTGTTATTACTTTTTGTTATTATAATATAGTTAAAATATTGTAATAAATATTATTAATAAATAATTAATTTTTTTGAAGAAAAAGAACTCGAAGAATTCTGAATGAGTAAACTTTCTTGGCACGCCACAGCTTCACTCTTAGAAGACGTTGATTGGCCATTTTATGTTGTAGTAACTTATGGACATGGATACCAATATTTTAGTGGTATATTAAGAACATTTGATAAATATGGTTTGTTATTTAAATTTATAACATATGAATTAACATATGATAGGTAATATTTCATTATCCGATTGTCAAGAACACATTTATTTTAATGGGTTCCAAGCTCATAAACCTTTAGGAAAAGTATTAACTGTTTTTGGTGATTCAGTCGCAATGTGTGGAAGATATGACGTTTGTCTTTTCATTTAAGGTTGTATTTATTAATTCATTTACTTATCAAATAGAAGACAAAATCAAAAAATATTCCAGAAAAACCATTTGCTGAATTAGAACGAGAATACAAGAAATCTGTTACATTCTGAATATCATTCTATTGAAATTTCTTTTTTAGTTTTTTAAATGCTATATTTAAAATTTTTTGGATGTAAGAAGTTAATTATAAATAAATTATTTTAAAATAATTTTATTTAAAAAGAGAAAACCAAAATTTAAAAATAGTTTGATAAAATTAAAATAGAGAAGGTTGAATTAACTCGAAATTCATAGAGATTTGAAATAATCTCAAATTCATTTTCATTCATTATGTTTCCACAAGACAGAGAACGAATAGACAGATTAACAGAAAAAAATAAAAAAGATCCAATGCTTCAGATGTTGACTCAATTATACTTTTCAAAAGGTGGAACTAAAAAAATAACAAAACAAGAACTAACTCAAGTTGACTCAGCTCTTTCAGTTAAAACACCAGAAATCACTCCAACTAAAGGAAGGTCAACATCAAAATTAACTACAGACTCTCAATCTCTTTTTAAAAAGAAAACTGAAAGGATTACATCTCGTATATCTCAAGACTTATCATCTCAACACAACCAAGAGGTAAAGAAGAATCCAGAAGTTGTAAGAAAAGTTACTGAAAAATTAAAACAGTCAGTAACAAAAGAGAATGATAAAAATATAACTATTCAACGAACACCATCAATTTTAAGAAGTTCAATTAGGAAATCAACAACAGGAAAAGATGAAGAAGAAAATACAAAACCTACAACAGACATTTCATTATCATCAAAAGAGTCTCAACAACTTGTACGTCATGTAACAGAAGAATTAAAAAGAACATCAGTGACATTAAAACGAAGAACATGTACACCATCTATTTATACTTTACTACTTGTTTCACAAAGTGGAAATGAAAAGAATATTATTACAGTAGAAGTATTAGCATCATACTCTAATTTAAATTCAAAAGTTGGGGGTATTCTT